ATTTCATTTTTCTCATTGCGTTTACGCACAAATACCCATTTAAAGCCTACTGGTTTTACGCCTTTTGGCGTAGGGACTATCGGTCCAAAAACATCACGTTTTTCAAGTGATTTCAATTCAGCCTGAATTGCTTCATTCCATTTTGGCCAATCGTGTCGTTTCCGACATCCTTCTATTTATGTTGGCTCATTGTCATTGTTTTCATTCATAACATTTGTGGCAACGGCATAGACAAATATCTCATTAATATCAATATTTTTACGATTCCATTGCATTCCAGTAGAAACGTAGTTTATTGAAATTTCATAATTATCAACGTTTCTATCATTATCTGGAATATCTTCCTCATTTAAGGAAGTTGGATCATCATTTGAGATATTTGTTTTGTCAATATCATTTTCTATGCCAATATTTTCAAATTGTTCATTTTCTTGTTCAGAAGGATGAACATCTTTGGCATCACAGATCGATTCCTGCCTTTTAGTTTTTCTTGGTTTTATATCTTTCGATCCAAGTGGCCTGCCACGCTTTTTGCGTATAGAAGAATCGTTTGCAAAAGATTTTTCAAAATTCTCTGTTGGGATTTCGATTCTGGCAGGGGCATTTATGGCAGGAATATGTGACTTTGTCACTTTTTGTGTGTCTGTGAATGCATCAGGCAACTGATTTGCAACATTTTGTAAATGGATTATCTTTTGCACCTCTTGCTCACATATATTTGATTTTGAGTCAAGATGTGATAATCCTGTTGCATTCCATGTTATTTCTTTCGTACTTGGGTCTGATTTATTAGTTTCTCCTCATAAGGTTGAGAATACTGTCTCATTGAAATGACAGTCAGCGAACCGTGTGGTGAATAAGTCACCAGTCATCGGTTCAAGATATTTGATTATTGAGGGAGATTCAAATCCAACATAAATTCCCAACCTTCTTTGAGGACCCATTTTTGTACGATAAGGTGGAGCAATCGGAACATAAACAACACAACCAAATATTTTAATGTGTGCTAAGTTTGGCTCTTGTCCAGTAACTAATTGCATTGGAGAATATTCATGATATGCAGTCGGTCTAAGCCGAATTAAATTTGCTGCATGTAAAATAGCATGTCCCCAAACTGATGAAGGTAAATAACACTTCATTAATAATGGTCTAGCGATTAATTGTAATCGTTTAATCAAAGATTCAGCAAGACCATTTTGTGTATGGACATGAGCAACAGGATGCTCCACATCAATCCCAATCGACATACAATAGTCGTTAAATGATTGGGATGTAAATTCTCTTGCATTGTCAAGTCGGATTCTCTTTATAGAATGGTCCGGAAAATGAGCTTTTAATCGTATGATTTGAGCAAGGAGTTTAGCAAATGCTAAATTTCTAGTCGATAAAAGACTAACATGTGACCAACGTGTTAAAGCATCAATCAACACCATAAAATATCGAAATGGTCCACATGGTGGGGCTATCGGCCCACAAATATCTCCTTGAATCCTCTCTAAAAATGCAGGTGATTCAGTTGCAATTTTGTTCATTGAAGGCCTGATGATCATTTTGCCAAGAGAACAGGCCTTACAAGGAAAATCACTTGATACTCGAACCCTGATATTCTTTAATGGGTGTCCAAGTGAAGTCTTAATGATTTTAGGCATCATTACTTGGCCTGGGTGACCTAAACGGTCATGCCACAACATGAATGTTTTCCGATCATCTAACTTTGTGTTAGAAACCAAATTTATTTCGAATGGACTAATATATGTGAAATATAGTCCTGAGGAATATGCTGGCATTTTTTCACAAAAATATTTAGCGCCAGATTTAGTTGTCGTGAGACAAAGATATTCCTTTTGGTTTTCATTCATGGTTTCTATGTGATAACCATTTTGACGCATATCTTTAAAGCTCAATAAATTTCTCCGCGATTTGCTGGAATATAAAGCGTCATTTATAATTATTTTTGTCCCATTAGGTAGCATCACATATGCTTTCCCAGAGCCTTCAATGAGCTTCGCAACACCTGATATTGTATTGACTTTAGCTTCAACTAAAGTCATTTGAGAAAAATATATTTTATTTCTCAAAATGGTGTGCGTTGTGGCGCTGTCTATCAGACATAGCTCTTTATCATTTGAATGATCCATATCTTCAATATATATAAATAAACATTAGCTTGATCACAAATTATTCATTTTATTTAACATAAGAGTATTACACATATTTATTTAAAAACAAAATAAAAGTGGACGAAAGAAAAAATACATAAAATTAGTATTATACAACATACGAAGTCTACTATTTTATTTTGTAACATTTTGGTTTATGACAAAAGCATCGTCCACAATTGCATCATCAGTGAAAAAGTCGGACACGTCAAATTTTGGCAGAGATGGAGTTGTGTCATTGACATAATTAGCTTCCATATTTTTGCCTTTGTTTAAATTCATAGAAGCTTGAAATAACTCCACCAGATGTTTAGCCGTACGACATTTATTAGCCCAATGCCCCGTCATGCCACATTTATAACAAGTCGATTTTCCCGAGGATTTTGGAGGGCGATTTATTTGATGGGCTTTTTGTTTGCCCTTGCCCTTATAATTCGGTCTATTGACTTGTTTATATTCTCGGTGGGACTTGTTATTATGACCATTAAAATGCCCACGTTTAAAATGCCTTCTACTGCCACTGTATGTTGCATTTGATTCAGTGGCTAAATTATGGCCAGATGGACCATAAACCGAAGGACTAGAACCAGTGGGTCTCAGATTATGATTTTTCATCAAAAGGTCATTATTTTGCTCAGCTACCAATAATACTGATATTAAGTCGGAGTATTTTTTAAAACTTTTTTCTCTGTATTGCTGCTGTAGCAGCATATTAGAAATATGCATTGTAGAAAAGGTTTTCTCCAACATATCAGCATCAGTGACTTTTTGTCCGCATAACTTTAGTTTAGATGTTATTTGGAACATGGCAGAAATATAATCACTGATTGATTTAAAATCCTGGAATCTTAAATTGATCTAGTCATACTGAGCTTTTGGCAAAAGTACCTTTTGTTGGTGGCCATAACTCTCCTGTAAATTGTCCCATAATTCTTTTGGGTCATCAACCAAAAGATATTCAGATTTGAGACTTTCATGGAGATGGTGACGGAGAAAAATTATAGCTTTCGCTTTGTCCTGGGAGGATGATTGATTATTAGCCTCAATAGTGTCTTCCAGACCGTTAGCCTTCAAATGTGCTAAAGCATCCACTTTCCATTCAAGATATTTTTGACGAGACAGATCAAGAATGTCGAATTCTCTTTTGCTAATGTTTGCCATGATACTACAAAAATTTATTGATGTAAATTATTACTACCTATGCAATAATTATTTCAAAAATATTCCTTAAGTATATATAAAGCATCTAATTTGTAAGTAAGTACACAATTTTCAAGTTCCTGTCCAATACTTAAACGGAATATACTAACCACATATGTATATAAAACTTATCAATGATTCATTTATCTTGAGCACTTGTTATTATATATTCCGTAACATTATTTTAACTGAACAAAACAGTTGATGCAATAATGATCATTTAACGTGACTATTTAAAAAAAATCATCTTGATAATGGCCACCATGTTGTATTTAATTTAGACAATCATGAACCCACTATATGCTTTGATTTAATTTTATGAATTAACTTTGGATGTGCATCAGTACATAACTATATCATTAGTAAATTTTGGTTTTATATGTGGTATACATATCAGCATGTACATAATTATATCAACATACATAATTTACACATGCATAAATATCATGTTCGAATAAAATGATAATTCATATACAAAGATTAGAGAAATTAAAATTCTGAAATTTTTATGCAGGTCTGTATGGATTGGTATCACAAGTGAATTTTATTTTACTTTATTATGTTTTGTTTTAACTGATACAAACAATAACCACCGAACAAACAACTCAATAACGTTTAATTTAAGAGCTACGTGGCTAACAGAACATACCCTAGATGATATGCAAAGTCTTACTTACATCTGTTACATGGAAAAATGTATCAACTGAGCATGTACTTTTAATAAAGCTTTTGTTTGTTAGTGAACGTGTCTTACAAAGTAAACGGTCAGCATGCATGTAAATTATCTGACCTTTGTGTGTCATATATATCAACCCGTGACTAAAGTAGTGCAGCATATATTTATTTAGGTTTTGACAGACATGAGCCGGCTTAATAACGATCGAGACTACGAAAATACTTCATATTTTATACACGGGCTAAATTTGCAATGGAGCTAGTGTATCATTCTATCTTCTTGTTCTACCATTTCAAGTGATACTATTATGTATTACGTATTACGTAGTATTATTCCTCCTGAAGTCAGAATATGGTTCCGTTTTTGTTCTACGAAAAGTTTTCAAGATTAAAGGCACTCAAATTGAGGTAAATTTCTATTCCTTAGCTTCTATTATTAAAAATATAGTACGTAATTTTATTTTGGCAACCAATTACTATATTTGAGTGCGAAGTATATATTTATTCTGAAAAATGTTTTGATTATTTCAGAAAATTAAAGAAGATAATTAATATTGATGCTCATACCTGCAGGAAGATGATTTCTTGGAGAGTTTTGAGCAGATTCGTGCTGATAACGTGTTGTGAAAATAAAGAAGATGAAGACTAAATTTGAGAGATAGATATATTAATAAAAGCTCTAAATATCTTCTTCTTAATATTTGAGAATTTCTGAATTTCTGAATAAATTTACAATGCCTCATCAAGCTTCTATTTATACTGTTTGAACTTGATGATTAGTCACTTAAGGGATTAATCTACAGATTTGGTGGCAATAACAATTTGAGCCATCTGTTCTAACTAGGTTACAAGGATTAAACATAATTTCTGAATTGATGACAAGGATGAACAATTCACACTTGTCATTTCCAGAATTTTACTACAACCAGAAATTTTTAATCCAATTAAAATTATTTTAAATTCTAGCCCACCCAAACCTGCTCATAATCCGTTAAGCTGCAGACGAGGCGCACACACTCTTCCGGTAACTGGGAAGGTAAAGAATGAAGCGGAAGGTAGAGGATATGGAGATGATAGTGTGGCAAACTCCCGCGAACCCACCAGAGAGACATGACTACATTTACCGCAACGGTATTTTCTTTCTTCATATTCTTTTTTCTTTCACAAAATTTCTTATATGTGGTTTCATTTTCTATGCATTTCTGCAGGCATACGCTATGTCAAACCATACTACTTCGAGTTCATCTCTCATGTACGCACTCCCGCCTTTGACATGCTAGTTAAGGACCACTTCTCTTTTAAATCCATGGTATGCTCGCGCGCGTGTGATCGAATTATTGTACGCAGGTGAAGAATCGGTGGGCAGGGAAGACAATTGTTGACCTTTTCTCTGAAGAGTTTAAAGGCCGGTCTAGCGATTACTATGTATGCCATTATCATGCGCTATCTACCATTAGCTACTGTATCGATTTCTGGATTGAAAAACGGATTTATATGCTTGTGCGTTACTTCAAAGAAAGTCATTTGACTTTAAAATATTGAGGTCATTGTACAGAAGAAAGTATGACGCTAAAGTTAATAGAGTTTGTAGGTTGCTGCTGTCAAAGCTGGACGAATACAAGTCAATGGGAAAAGAGTTCCCATTTCATTTGTAGTTCAATCATCACAGAAAATAAGCCATTTTGTACACAGGTCTGTCCAGCTCAAGCTTCACCCCCAACAAATTTGTTCAGCTTTGATTATCATGTTACCCAATCAATCAAGTTATATTTTTGGTTCACATTATGAAGTTTATATGAAAAGTCCAACACGAAGTTATAACACGCTTCGGCAAGTATGTGTTGATAAGTAACTGAAGCATGTAGGCATGAACCACCAGTCATGGCATGGGATGTGGAGATACTATGTGAGGAACCAGAGGTGCTGACCATTTGTAAACCTGCATCAGTCCCTGTAAGTTCACAGCTGTTAACCTTTACTATAGTTTTAAACAGTTCTATAGTTCGACACTTCTACTACAATAATTCTCTGACCTCTCTTCGTCTATAAGACAACATTTGACTTGACACTCAAATGAATTTCCATTCTGTTTTCAATCTTTTATAGCGTGAATTCCTTTTGCAGTTCAATTTCTATAGTACCCGCATTTAAGTTATATTTCTCCATGGTGTGATGTACCGTTTCTTTACGATTCAATGTTCATAGGTGCATCCGTGTGGGCAGTATCGTAAGAACACAATCCTTGGCATCCTTGAGGCAGAACATAGTTTGACACCACTATTTCGTATCCAATATAGCTCAGTATCTTGCTCAAACTTTTTTTTTTCAAAAAACCGTTTAATTTTATTTTATGCATTTATGCTGCTCCGTATTTCATGTTAGTGAGAGGAGGTACTTTAGTACTTCATATGATACTTTATAGTTTATACTTCATGTTGCTTTTATTTCAAAATCATGCCTTTTAACATGAAGGTCTATCAATTTTTGCACCAATCTTGTTATGGGAGACATGCATGTACAAATGTGTTCCAATAACCCGCTTGAAGGCACATTTACCCACACTAAAAATGAAAAAGGTTTTGAAATTTACTACAACAACAACAACATCCAAGCCTTAATCCCAAAAGAATTTGGGGTCGGCTAACATGAATCGATCTATGATATCGATGCCAAAATGAGAAGGCAGACAAGAAAAGGAAAAAAAAGTAAGATAAAATGAATAAAATAAAGATACATAAATATAAGATAACAATAACACAACGATATAACCAAGATAAAAGAAAAATAAATAAAAGAGCATAAAAAAGCTAGAAGATAAAAATAACATAAGAATATAAAAAGATAAGGAAGATAAACGATAAAAGAAACAAGAGAGGAAAGGTAGACAAGACATCAATCGTCCACATGGATGTGTGCCCTCCACTTTGCTCTCTCCAAAGCCATACTCTCATCTAACCCAAGAAGACGCATATCAGTTCTGATTACTCTAATCCAAGTCTGTTTGGGTCTTCCTCTCCCTCTCTTCTCTGACTCTTCTCCCCACCCCTCAAGTCGTCTAACAGGTGCATCACTCGGTTTTGAAATTTACTATAGGTAAAAATTCCTGAGAGAATTGCCTAAGTAGGAGTAAAACATATCAAACTTTCTCACATAGGAGTACCATTGTTTTCTTTCCAACCTAGAACTCATGGGCTCCTATTTAGGGAAGTTTTTATTCTTTTATTTTTTAATAGGACTCATGAGTTTGCCTATGTTTTTCTCCTATTTGAGCAATTTCTTAATATTCTTTCATGACTATGATTTTGGATGGTTTAGTAGTTTGATATTTTAAATTTTAAACTCCCTGTTGTATTTATTACAAATTCATGGTTTTTTACCTAAAGGTCTATCATTTCTTGCACCACTATTGTTGTCATGGAAGAGATGCATGTAAAAGTTTGCTCCAATAATTTGCATGAAGGCATATTTACCCTGACCCAAAACGCAAAATGGTTTTGGAATTTACTACAGGTAAATATTCTTTCATTACAATGATTTTATGTAATTTGCGTACAATCTAGTACTCTTTTATTACAATGATTTAATGTAATTTCCATACAATCCAGTGCTTCTATGTTAGGCTTTTTGCAGCATGTCAAGTTTGTCAAATGTCTAGTTACTTGATATAACATTTTTGGGGTTATGTTTCCTTAACTTAAGCATCAAGCTATTCATCGTCTTGATCGCTTGGTCTCAGGGCTCCTTATCTTAGCCCGGAGTTCCTCTAGAGCTGACACTTTCAGGCAGCAGGTATTTTCTTGTAGTTATGTCATTTTGTAGCAGCCTTTATTATTACTCTTGAATATAAGTTTTAGTAATCCACTTGGTGAATTCACTACACACAAGAACATATATATATATGTGTGTGTGTTTTTATTCACGTATAATGAGAGAGCGTGGTTGGTGACACTGGCTTGCTTCATTATCATCTTCCGCAAGTTCAACAAAAAAGTGTTTTCTTACAGTATTTCTCCTCAGGCCATATTCATAACAATATAGGCTTATAGCATAGCCCCTTGATTAGGCTTATGGCATAGGCCCTTGGTTTGGCAAGCCGTGGCTTCTGCTCAACCCAGTCATCTCCTGATCTCCCCTCTTGAGGAGGCTGGTAGCTGTGTACGTAATCAGTGGTTGTTGCTCCCGTAAGCGGTAGTGTAGACATGTACATTTGGGCAGCGTGGACAATTGAACGGGCTGTTATTTTGGCCGTTTTTTCTGGCCAAGCCTCATTGGCCATAGCAATATTCATGCTGCCAGGAATCTAGAAAGCTCCAAACTTTTCTCCTCCCAATGACCATACATAGATGTCTTAACATGAAACTGACAGGGAGACTTTAGGTGCATGGCAAGGCATGTTGGGAAAAAGCAGTTACACTTCTTAACCATGCCAGATTGTTTTATTTGAAAAAGATCACCTTCCTAATTGGTGCTCAAGGGGAGTTCAAAGCGGAGAAGACAACTAAGAAACACAGAAACACAGTAGAGCTCACATTTTCCTGTTTCAGAAACTCAGAAATGTATCTGAGACTTGAAACCTATAAAAATTTGGGAAACCCATTTCCTAGTACTCTAGTAGTGCTTCAGAAATGTTGGATCTTTGCTTTTGTTTTTTATATGATGTTTTGATGGATTATTTTTAGGTTTTTCATGAGCAACACTGTATTTGTGACATTTCATGGTGCAATGGGTTGCTAATGTATTGCGTTTTACATATAGTTGTGTATTAATATTAATATATGTGAATAATGTCTATATCTGAACTTGTAAAGTATTAATCTTCAGTCATATGGCGAAGTTAATATGAAAAAGATATGGATACATACTCACTCACATACACACACATGGAAAAATATTTGTAATTAACACGGGGCGGGGGAATTTTGTTATTTTGTAGATTGCACATAATAAATAAGCATCAGTATCATATGTTTAGAATTGGATACCGATTGGCAACAAGTAAAAGAGGCTTAATTACACCATTTTTGTCTAGTTAGTGTATTTCAATTGAGTTCGTCTTTGTTGGGGCCCAATTGTTTGCTTCAGATTGAATCAGGAAAGGTGCAGAAGCAGTATATTGCTAGGGTAATTGGCGTTTTCCCTGAAGATGAGGTATTTTGTATAGCTATGCGCTCAATTGTTTTGTTTTAATCCATCTTTGTGATCTTAATAGAGAATCTGTTCATATTTTCTCGCTTGATTTGATGGATATAATTTATGATTCTCCTTTTCCAGCAAGTTGTAAATGCAAATGTCAATTACAATGCTCGAGAAGGAAGGAGCACTGCGGAGGTAAAGTTCTTGCATCAGTTATATTAGCTCATATCTCCTTGCTCCATCAATATATGGTGATGGTTGTTATTTTTCTTATAGTGTGTGATATGTATATTATAAATCCTGATATGTGTATTTCAAAGATAATGGTTATTAATGATATGGGCTCACTAACACGATATACTCTCAACAGTGACAGATCCTCAACTTCACTAGTTAGATGCTAGGTAAAAGATCTATGAAGATAAGATTCATAAGATTAATTACGATTTGGATGCCAGTCTTCGTTGTAAGACATATGAGGTGGGTAGTTGATGAGGACGAGAGACCTTATGAAAATATTTAATTTCTGTTTCTTTTCTAAGCAATGTTTTCTGAAATGTCATATGTTGAAGTCCTTCATCGTTGATGAGGATCAAACTTGACAAAGCATACTAATTTGCAATCATTTATCTGGAAGCTACAGAGTAACAAATTGGCAATAATTTATTTTACTTCGATGTATTAATCATTAAGAGCTATTAGCCTTTGTTCATACTTCTTATTAAATTAATGAAGTGGGGGGAGTGCCTAAGGTTTGATAGAGACTCAACGGACACAGCAGATATTTAGGATTATATTGAATATGGAGTCTGATGAATTACAACTGAATTGACGGTAAACAGAAAGAAAGAGAAGAGCAGAGGTTGAGACACTTCGAGCAGTCTCCCTCTCCCAAGCCCAAGCCTAACTGAATTCCAGCCTAACCTTCTCTTCCCACTTTCAGCTACTATTAATAGTTTAATACTACATATCTTAGCACGAGGTTGCCACCTCAGCTATTTATTTACATATCTTACTCTTTCTACTAAACCTTTATACTATTCTTTATTTATTACTAATATCATTATTCTGCCCAGGTCCTAGCATCATTCCCCCTTTGATAACCAGTTTGTCCTCAGCTTCATCCTTGTGCCTCTCCCTTCACAGTACCTTACTGATTTCTGGACCATGAGCTTCATTACTTGAACCTTCAACATCACTTCCTTCATAGCATGAAAGAGCAGAAGCAAGGACTTTGTTGCATACTGCTCCACAATGTTGCAAAGTTTAGAATCTCCCAGCAACTGTGTCTCTGGCACATCTTCTAACTGCTTTATGCTGAGTTTCCTGAAATTTTCCTCAATACCCCCCTCTTGCACTACCAACTTGCCCTCAAGTTGCAAGTCAGGGAATTGATTTTGGAGCATTTCAGTTTCCTCCCATGAGTCTTCAAAATCAGGAAGGTCCTTCCAATGTACAAGGACCTCCTTCTTCCCTTCCTGATTTATTCTGCAGCCTCTTACCTCTTTAGGACTCGCTTGTAACTCACAATCTTCTGTGAGACAATCTGGGAGGCTTTGATAATCCACAGTTGGTTTCAGCACCTTCTTCAATAAGGAAATATGAAATACCGGGTGTACTCTACTCCCTTCTGGTAGTTTGAGTTTGTAAGCCACAGGACTTATCTTCTCTGCAATGTCATAGGGACCATAGAATCTTGGGCTGAGCTTTTGATTAATCTTCTTGGCCAAACTTTTCATTTTATAAGGTTGTATCTTTAAGAACACCTTGTCCCCCACTTCAAATTTCTCCTCCCTCCGGTGTTTATGAGCTTGTTGTTTCATCAAATTCTGAGCTTTAGCTAGGTTTTCCTTCAATTCAGTCAACGGTATATTCCTTTCTGCTGTCATTTTGGCCACTTCATCCACTGAAGTCAGACTGACATCTCCCCTGATGATAGCAGGAGGTTGTTGTCCAAACAAGGCTTGATAAGGAGTACTCTTCAATGAACTGTGGTAGTTGGTGTTGAACCAGTATTCAGCCCAAGGAAGCCATTTTACCCATTGTCTAGGTTGTCTCTCACTAAGACACCTCAAATAGGTCTCCAGACATCTATTAACCACTTCAGTCTGCCCATCACTTTGTGGGTGATAAGCAGTGCTAAATTTGAGTTTTGTCCCTGCAAGCTTGAACAATTCTGACCAGAATGTACTCAAAAATAGGCTGTCTCTATCACTGACAATAGATTTTGGAAATCCATGTATCCTTACTACTTCTTTCATAAAGGTTTCAGCCACTCCTTTGGCATTGAATGGATGTGCCAAAGGTATGAAATGAGAAAACTTAGTCAATCTGTCAACCACTACTAAAATAGTGTCCTTCCCCTGAGATTTTGGTAAACCGCCAATAAAGTCCATGCTGATGTCAGTCCAAACCTGGTCTGGTATTGGTAATGGCTGCAATAAACCTGCAGGCTTAAGAGCTTGATATTTGTTTCTTTGACATATTTCACACCCCTGAATATAATCCTTGATGTCTGATCTCATCCCTTCCCAAAAGAACAGGCTAGAAATTCTCTTCATGGTTCTAAAATACCCTGAATGACCCCCACTGCAGAATCATGGTATTCCTTGAGAATAAAAAGTATTCTTTGAGACCCCTTTGGTAATACCAACCTCCCTTTGTAGTACAGTAATCCTCCTCTCATCCTGTAATTCATACACTGATCTGGCTGTATCACCATTTTCTGGATAACTTCTCCCCACTTAGGATCTTTTTCCAATTCATCTCTCAGCCCTTCCCATTTGCTGACACTTCACAGTAGAAAGTGCTACATGTGTAGATTTTCTGGAAAGGGCATGAGCAGCTTTATTTTCAACTCCTGGTTTATATTTAATTGTGAAGTTGTACCCCATGAGTTTTGCTATCCATTTCTGCTGATCTTCCCCCATAACTTTCTGCTCAGTAAGATACTTCAGACTTCTTTGATCAGTATGCACCTCAAAGTTTCTTCCCAAGAGATAGGGTCTCCACTTTTGAATGGCAAAAACAATGGCCATTAGCTCCTTCTCATATACAGATTTATTAAGGTACTTGGGTGATAACTCCTTACTCATGTAAGCAATGGGACCCCCTTCTTGCATAAGTACAGCACCCAAATTTTTACCTGATGCATCAGTCTCAATCACAAATAGTTTATTGAAATCAGGAACCTTCAGAACTGGCAGTGAAGTCATAGCCTCCTTCAGATCATTAAAAGATATAGTAGCCAGTTCATTCCACTTAAACCCATCCTTTTTGAGTAAAACTGTGAGAGGTGCAGCAATTCTGCTATAACCTTTTACAAACCGCCTGTAATACCCAGTTAGACCTAGAAATCCCCTTAGTTCCTTCAGGTTTTTAGGTTCAGCCCAATTCTTCATAGCCAAGATTTTTTCTGGGTCAGCTGCTACCCCTTCAGCAGAGATGATATGTCCCAGGTAACTCAACTGCTCTTGGCCGAAAGAACATTTTTTTAAATTTGCCACCAACTGATTCTTCTTTAATGCCCCAAGCACCAATCTTAAATGTTCCTTATGATCCTCCTTAGTTTTACTGTAGACTAAGATATCATCAAAAAACACAAGAGCAAATCTTCTCAAAAAAGGCTTCAACACTTCATTCATTAGGGCCTGGAAGGTTGATGGGGCATTAGTCAGCCCAAAAGGCATGACTAAGTACTCATAATGACCCTCATGGGTCCTGAAGGCTGTCTTATGAGTATCACAGGCTTTCATCCTAATCTGATGATAGCCTGATTTAAGATCTAGCTTTGAAAAAATTCTGGCTCCTCCAAGTTCATCCAAAAGTTCCTCTATGACTGGAATAGGAAACTTATCAGGCACAGTAACCTTATTTAGAGCCCTATAGTCCCCGCAAAACCTCCAACCCCCATCCTTCTTCTTGGCTAATAAAATGGGACTACTATAGGGACTGTTACTGTTCTTAATAATACCCGATTTCAACATTTCATCAATAATCTTTTCTATTTCATTTTTCTGATCAAATGAGTACCTGTATGGCCTGAGATTTGGTATATCTGCTCCTTCCTTAATATTAATGGCATGATCACACTTTCTTTTAGGTGGAAATTTGAGAGTGGATGTGAAATCCTCTGGAAAATCTGCTATCAATTCACCCCAATTCCCCCCATATCTGCCTGCTGTACCTGCATCTCTGATTTTCCTTCACAGTATAACAGAAAACCATCTCCAACTTGATGTAGTATGTGAGCCATAGTCTTCATAGTTACCTCCATCTGATTTTCAGCAGAATTTCCTTTTATAGTGAAAATTTCCCCTTTCTGTTTCCACTTAAGGATTTGATGCTTGAAATTCACCTCCATGTTCCCCAGTTCAGTCAGCCATTCCATCCCCAACACAATATCAATTCCTCCCAAATCAAACATATACTTCCTCCGTCCCGTTGGAATGTTCCCGGTTTGACCTACACACATATTAAGGAAATAAACTTACCAGGGGGTAAATTTTACTGTTTTGACACTGTTTGGCACTGTTTCGACACTGTTTGACACTGTTTTGCACTGTTTGACCCTGTTTTGATGTAGGATAACTTTCCATTTAGGGAAATGAGAACTTTCCAACGGGACATCCAAAAAAGGAAAGCGGGAACATTCCAACGGGACGGAGGGAGTAATAAGTTTGTTGAATTTTAACTCCTTGCACCTCCAAATCCACCAATGAACATCTGCCCAAATTAGGTATACATTCCCCATTGCCAATTTGAACCTTATATCCCTTGATTGGACTATAAGGAATATTCCACTTTTCCACTAATGTCCTTGACAAAAAATTGTGTGTAGCTCCACTGTCTATTAGAATAGTTACTCCCAATTCTCCTTATGGCCATTTCATTCTTCCTTTCACTTTGAAAGTAGTCATGGAAGGTATGCCTTCCTTACTCAAAATGGAAAGCTGCATATTCTGGTTTTCCATCTGGCTTACAGCATCACCTATCTCTTCTTCTGATTCTCCAACTTCCGCCTCAGAGTTTTCTTCTCCTTCTGAGTTTTCAACCAGAATCATCTTGAAGTTCTTCATCTTACAAACATGTCCAGGATGACTTTTCCATCTATTGCTATCACCCCAATTCTGTCGTGCAGATGGATTGGTAGTTCTCTGGCCTTTCTTCTTACCTTCCTATCTATTCCTCATGAT